TAACTAATAACACAGAAACAAACTGTATTAATTAGCAATACAACGGGTTACTTTTGCTTCCCCAGACCAAATGACTAAATGCTATTTACATATAGCTCATTCAAAGCTATTCTTAACAAGTCCAGGGTGAGGCTTGAGCTATAAAAAGAAAAACTAACCATTCCGCTCCGTGCACCTCCATATTACTGTTATCAATCTGAGCTGAAATCAGTCACATTATTTATCTACACATTTCTTAGCCTTGCTTCAGTGCCAGCTTTATTTGACAGAATCCAAGAGCACTGATTGCATTTGTTTTCCACTGCAAATATATACTATTTAGGGACTGATCAAGTCTATTTTTGTCATGGAGCAACATAATTATCCTATAATTACATTAGAATCTCCAACAGGTAACTGGCACATCCTTGTACCCGCAGCACGTGGTCATTTCAACACAGAAAGGATTTTTCTTCTTAAATATACATTCCTGCCAAAGACAGCCTACTATTTATTCGCCTGGAATCCTTCAGTGTGCACTGTACGTCATCTTGATCACGTGTACAAGCTACTGCACTGAAATTTCAAAATCCCAGAGAGACAAGAGGTCAGAATATTGTCTACAGAAACTAGTATCCTTGCAAGCATGGCAAACGACAGAATTATTATTTCTACCCTTTCAGGCTTGTAAGGCTTGGCTATGCAAACACAGGAGTAGATGTTCATTCCTAATGGTACTGCATGAGCTGCTGTAAAATAGGCTCTAGAGGAAGAGCAGCGAAGCTGAAGTGCTATAAGAAAATCTCAGGTATTGTATAATTGATGTCTCTCTAGAGCTACCACATGTTAATGGGTAGTATAGAAAAGCACAGAAATACCAGCTCTCTTCTGAATATTTCATCAGGGATGTCCATCTCGGAGTACTTACCAACTTCAGGACAATTGTGTTAGATTCACTTATAAAGTAAACTCTGTGAAATGCATTTCAGATGAATCACTCTGCCTGGCTGCCTAAATTTTAAAAAATAGATACAACTGTGCCACCTGAGTCTAAAAGCACCAGCCACACCAATGGGTAGTGCTCTTCTGCTTGGCTGGCAAGCATGCCGACATTTGTCCATTGGAAAGAGACAATTTACCCTATGGTTTTTGTTACTTATTTCACTTCAGTGAAATAAAATAATGAAAAGATTAAGCTGATCTGATGCAATGGGAAGCAAAACCAAAGGTAGCTACTTAGCATGGAAAATTTTTAGAAGTGGGTACAGATCTTTGTGGGAGGCCATAGTAATCACCACCATTCTGATTTTTTTGTTTTTTAAATTTTTTGCATAGTTAACTATTATCTCAGAAAAATGAATTGATTGCAAGATCTTTCTCTTGCCCTTCCCATGTAGCAGTAAACTTAACCAGTGCCCTAATTTCTAGCAGGTGATCCCTTTCAGTCTCTACACAGAGCAATGTCTAGTGAACTAATACATTATTTTGTTCAGCAAGCATGACTGCCTCTTAGCAATTTGTAAGGCAAATAAAAATTTCTATTATGTCAAAGCATTATCAAGACATTGGAGTTGAAACCATCCAGCTTTACTTCAGTATTATAATGAAACACAGGTTTAGATGCTATAGAGTTGAAAGAATACAAACAGAATAGGAGGATCCTATAGGGTTACAATATTGCTTCATGCTTACAAAACCATATTTTGGACCTTCTCATGGGATATGCATGCTGGGCTCTAACTGCTTATGTTGAGGATTCTTGTAGATTAAAAAGTAAGCAATCACTTCACATACTCCCACTGCAATCATGAGTGTTGGAATTTGTGAGCAAAATACAGTCAGAAACAGCATCTCTCTGTTTCCATCTGCAAAAGGAAAAAAGACGTTTCTACAATGCTGGACAAGCTTTTATCAAAGACCTGCAGCAAAACAGCATTGCTGATTAATGCTCTGCTAAAAATGTATTTTTTCAGAGGACTGTTATTGACATAAGCCTTACAAAGGAAGTGCTTTAAAGCACAAAGAGAAAAGCAAAGGAGTCCACCTTGTTTGTTGGGAAGAAAGTCAGGCTCCCTTTCAATGATAATGAAAAGAGATCAGCATGCATCTCAGTGAGCTGCTGAACTGAAAAACACGCATGCCCTGTTCAGGCAGCCATCACAGTGCATCAGTGCTTTTTCTTACAATAGCTATTCCCATCAATATAAAACTGAGTCTTCAAGAGTTAACTAGTACAGATCTTCACAATAACACTGTCAGTAACAACAGACAAATTCATTACCTAATGAATCTCTTATCACAGTTAGGGCATGGCATCCACTCTCTAACACTACAATGCCCTACAACTGCCTATCAGTTTATTCTCTTTATTACTATATAAAACATTAAATAGTCTATCTTCCATTTTCCACGTCTTCTGGGAAAGGCTTACAGCTATTACTGCTCCCTCCATTCAGTCCACGGCAATAGGAAAGGAGCACAGCCTTTATGGGCAGGCTACAACAATGTAAGATTTTGCATTCCATCTCATACCAACTCCATACCGCTGTGGTAATCTGAACACATTTTGCACAAGAGGAGACCATATGGGCCACTTCTGTTTTGTTCATTTTTTTTCCCCAAAAGCATCTCCTAGGGAGAACAGTTTTGAGCACACTGCTGTTCAAAACAGTCCATCACAACAAGAAAACATAGTAACAAGTGAAGAACTGCTTACTGCCGTGTAGAAAAGATTTTAAATTTCAATGGAAATAACAAAGAGCAGTCAAGATATCCAAACCAACAAAAGCATGGGCACAAAATTACTGAATTTAACAACCCATTTCTCAGAATTAGGAATGAATTAGCAGATGCCAAAAGGAAAAAAAAAATGCAATGTTGCATATTGCATCTTCTTATGACAGATGGTTTGAAAAGGATTAATGAGGTGAGTGCTGAATTTCTAGGTTGCAGCAGTTAATACTTAACCTCCAGCCAGCAGACACCACTAAGGTTTTTACACCTGAGTTGATAAAGAGGTCTGCCTAATTGAACTGCTGAAAAAAACCTGTGCTAATTGGAAGAGTATCTTCCAAAGGGAAAAAAAGAACAAAAACTAGTTAAAAAAAAAAGTATAGAGATCTTGTCACAACACTGGTGCAGAATTGGTTTTATGGGTAAAGAGATTCTTTAAGAAAGAAAAGACAAATTCAATCTTTTTCTTCTCTTTAAGAAGCTATGATTATGAAAGACACACAGACTAGATGAGCTAAATTTATGTCAGTCAAATGAAGGAAAAGAGAAAGATCAGTAAGAGGGACAATTTTACTTCACTTCTAGACAATTCTAGACAATGGGAATAAAAAATTTCTCTTTCAAGGAAAAAAAGAGTGAAAGACTCAACAAGAAAGCTTCCTCTGCAATAATTAAGCTTCTCATTGCACTTAGGACATCACAGAAGTTACTTGTGTGATATAAGCAGCAGACATGGCATGTTGTCACTCCTGGTTTAACTCATGCACGAAATCCATTCCCGACAAACAGATCACGTGTTACAGGATCATTTCTTTGTTTGTTCCAAAGAATCTTCACTACTACCATGCTTTGTGCAGCAATAAAATGGTTTCTTCAGTGCTAACAAAGTACAAACATTCAAGCTCATCACCTCACTGGTATTGAGTATTGCTGTTCTTAGTGATATAAACTTTAAAAGAAGATGACATAACCAAATCAGGGATTGCTTGTGGTAGCATCAACTGATAATGCTTTCTGACCATGAACATTGCCCTGCAACTGTTCATAAATCATTTTACACTGACATTTTCCAGCAGGAAATTCTGTTATTTTAAAGAAACTTAGAGTTGCACTTAGCCTTCAGTCTGCCTGTGAACTCCAAGTTCCTTCACAAAGAACTCAGGTCCATGTTAAGGTACAGGCTTCACAAATCAACAGTTTTCCAGAGTCCAGCATCCAGTACTGGGCTTCTCCTACTATCTGTGAGCCCTCACACCGAGGGCTTCTGCACATACCCTTATAGGCTCCCAAATGAAGAATGACAGAGATGCATTTTTCCACATTTTTGTGCCTGATACCTAGTTTGCTGGATACCCAGAGTGGCCTTCCAGCAAAGCACTTTCTGCCCCCTGACATATAAGGCCCCTCATAGCAACCCATTCACCCGACACTGTTAGCCCAACAGAAATGCTATTTCAATTCCTTTGCCTGGAGTACAGAAAGTGAAGGCTGTTTCTAAAGCTTTTAAAATATACTACACATCTGAATTTCTATCTATCATTACTTCCGTATCCTGTATCTATCATTATTTCTGTATCCTGTAAAGACACTCTTTCCTTAGTGTGGTGATTGCATTTGTTCCTATGGAATTGCTTCCTTTACTTTTCAGATCTCCATTTTGCCAAGTCCATCATAAACTCTAAATCTGTCCTCCAACAACGTCAAAGTCTTTCTCAATATGATGTTATTTGTAGGTTCAATAAGCATATTATCTTTTTCATTGCCCAAGTCTATCTAACTCTGTTCTTACTGCAAAAGCACCAACAAAAGCACAAATAAAGAATCACTGCAGAACAAGAGCAGAATCCACACACCTCTTCAGTGTCTTTTATGTAGCTAACAAGTCACAAAGGAAGAAAGAGCATAACTTTACAATAAGCTGATCCTTTCAGACCATAAACTAAATCTGAAAAAAAATTGTAAGCAAAAGGTCTAAAGTGAAGATTTGTACCTAGAACAATTTATAGTGAGCTTATGTGCATAGAGCTCCTGGTTAAACACTTCAGGGCAGTTACTGATCTTCACTGTCACTTATATTTTGAAGTGTTAGAAGTGCACTGCACAACAATGCTTACAACGCAGCAATAATATTTAATACCCTAAAGTAGTTATTAGAAAGTTTCTTTCCACAATCTTTCTCCCATATTTATTTCCTGGAATACAGATGGAATCGTTTTAAGATATCCACTTGTCTGACTGAATACCCTGCATTTCTCCAGCAAAATAGAGAAAAGAATGCCTGATCATACCTTATTACTGCAGTTCCACAGAACCTGGATCCCAGAGAGCCTGTATACATCATGACTAACTCCGTAGCATACACTAAACTGCAAGGAGCAGAGGAAGGTATTCATTATTCTCCAATAACCTAAGAAGGAGACCAAGAAAAAAAATAATATAAAATAAAATAAGGAGATGTTAAAGAAGAAAAAAAGTGTACTTAAAGTATTGAAAAGAAAATCTTACCACTTTTTTGTTGTAGCTAGTAATACATTCATAGGCAAGTAAAAGGATCATACTGTGGTAACCATGGATAGAAAAAAAGCATTTATCTATATCTAACCTTCAAATAGTCATCTATAAACAGCTAAAATCAATAGAGTTGCACTTGGAAGGGCCTTTTCATCTTTCTGCAGTGTGTGAGAACTAATGAGCAATGTACCACACCCAGGTGCAACCAATTCTGTCAAATCAATGTAGGGCTTAATATTGTAATCACCTGTTACAGAGTAACGAGAGGTAGTCAATAGCTGTGTCCAGTACAAGCTGGGCTTTGTACCCAGCTCATAAAATACTCCTGAAGGTGTTGCTGTTGGTGGGTTTTGTTTGTTTGTTTGTTTGCTTGCTTGCTTGTTTTGCAGGAAGGGGTAAGAAACTCCTTAATATTACACTAATACTGAGTAATTAGTGAGAAAATGAAAGCTTGATACTTCAATTCAAACTGTAGTCTATATACCTGCTCACTTCTTTGTACTTCTTCTATAGAAGTATGCCACAGAAATTGTTCTGTATTATATTTCTGTAGCTCTAGGAAAAGAAAAAGTTACATGTAATACACATAGAATACATATTAAAAAACCATGCCACATATTTTTTAGATAATTTCTATTACATATATTTTGATATAAATAAAAATATGTTCCTTGACGATTGGCAGTATTCACAGCATTTAGAAAATTGTTCTGCTTCAGCATATCCCAGGTAAAGCAATTAGGCAAACTGGAATACACTGATTATCCAACATAGTACTTAGAATTCTGCTCTCATAAATGTGATGAGACCCTTAATGACTTCAAGCAGTAGGGGAAAGGGAGTCGAGGGAAGAGAGCTGGAAGCTGCTTTCATCGTGAAAACTGACAGCTCTTCGTTCTAATTTCACCCAAACTGCCATAGAGATGAATATTTTCTTTCAAAACAACATTTTTGTAAGAGATTACATTTTCCTCTAAAAGCAGAACTGCTCCATTCAAAGATATGCCCATTTGTTGTTGTCAGATTCCGCCTACCCGGGCTGAGAGCCTACAGTAGCTGTGCGGATCTGTGACCTGCACTTCACTCCCTCCAGGCACTATAAATAATTTCCATGGAAACAGCGCTGAAGAAGATATCTGCAAGCCGAGAGGATATCTATAGCCTTTCTGTTAGATTTATGTCTTTTCTTTTTCTTCTGTTTTCTCAGTAACATCAATATTAAACATTTATTTTATAATATACTTAACAGACAATTAAAGTTATAGGAGAAAGGGAAGATAAAAAAAAAAATCTGAAGGAGATTCCAGCCACATGACATACATGCATTTATCTATAGGTTATCTTCATACTCAGCACTCCCACTCCCCCTAAGGAAAGAGTACATTGCATCTACATTGCACTTTTTCACCCAAGAAAAAATTCTCCCTCAGCCATCAGGGCCCTTAGCTGGAGCTAATTCTATGTATATTTAATGAAGCATCTAAATTCATGCCTTAATGACGCTGAGAAGAAAAGCAGATACATGTGGAATCAACTCTGAAGAGCTCTGAAATCAGTCCATATCAGAGCCCCAGGGAGGACCCAGCCACTGTGGCTGTACTGCAGGCAAGCCAAGTAAGCAATGCAGGGCTGGCCTCGATCTGCCACACAAAGGCAAACAGCTGCCTTTGTAGCCTTTACTTTCAGCACATCAAAGCTAATGCTTAAAGAGTGGACATTACTTAGTAAAGATTATATAGAACCCCATCACACCCTGCTCCCTCACAACTCCCTAGTTAACAAGAGTCCGTGCATACTGGAGCTGTGCTGTTCTGCATCCTTCTACTTACACCTAGCCAAGAAGGACCGTGGCTTTGGACCCTCTCTGCAAACTCCACAGCTGGTGAACGGCCCACTGAAAGTGCAGATGACTAGCCCCAAATTCTAAGAGTCTCCTTACCCCAAGATCCATCTATACATACAGGGAGAAAGAGAGACTGCACTTTTCCTCCTCTGCTGGGCTTGTCCGACCTGCCTGTAGCTCAGCAGACAGAGGAAGTGAGTCAAGGCTTGAGAACAAACTCAACAAAAGCAACCTGAGAAGTAACTGTAACACTTCGTTGTGTTTGTGTTGGCATTGGTGAACTTTTCAGCATAATAACAGTTGTTACTGAATGTAACAATACATTTCTATACTCACTGTTACCTGCCTTGAAGGATTTTTTTTGGAGTTCTTTCTTCCCTCCTAATTTATCCCGACATATGCTTTGAGAGCTGATTTAATGGTATGCTTTTTTTCATTAAAATACAGCAGAGACTGCACACAATCTTTTACATTTTTGTCAGTATTTCAATCTCTTTTTTTATGATCCAAAATAGAACTCTCATGCTAGAAAGAATTCAGACAGTTCAGAATAGAATCAACGTTAGCATTGTAAATAATGACAGGCATCCTTAAGCCACCTTTCAAAACAAATACAACTTCCTTGAGACAGGACTGCTTCTAATAAATAAGCCATTATCTGCACTCATATGTCAAGGCTTCTGCGTGTAATACAACTTCTAGGAAAACATTTGAGAAGCCAAGACTGTCTTGAATTTTATTTTATTTTATTTTATTTTTTAAATCAGAAGAAGTTCAGAAAAATGCCCCATGGAAGCTAATTCTTCATAAAAGATCTTTATACTTACAACAGTCCCCATAGCTATGGAAATTCAGATTGCTGTTCACCTGACATGTCTGAGAGCTTTTTGGTTCCAACAGTCAAAAGAGTATCAAGATCAGAAAATGATTTCTTGTTCTCAAATGAAGATACCCTGAAAGGGGCTATTTTTTGTAGCTGTTCATAGATCCTAACTGCTGGAATTCGCACAGTAACTACTCCAGATACCAGCAAAGTATTTAACATTATGTATAATGCTTCTCTGTGCCTTATCACTCTGAGTATTGTGCAATGATTATCCATCTTCCTTCACAGATTTATTAAGAAGGTTATTTAATTAATGTTTCTAGCACTCTTGAGATTCTCAGATGAAGAAACAGTCCGTGTATGTAGGGCTTTGAGGAAAGTTTGAATTAACTGTCGTAATTACAAAGAAATCAAGGACAAATTTTATAGTGTTTCACTCAGTTTTTCCTCTGTTAACAACTTTTTCTCTACAGCTGACCATTTACTGCCAACTAATGTGAAATTCCATATTATGCCTTGCTTTTGGAAAAAAAAAAAAACAACAACAAACTGCATCCATAAGGCATTAATTGTATCTAAGGACCACTGGTCAGTCAGACCATGTTTTCACAGCCACCTCTGTGCAACAAGACGGACTCAGGGCTGCACCTCCTTCATGCCTGAAAGCAGCTATGGCACAGCACCAAAAGATGCATGCAGTGTAATGGCTCCTTCACTCCTGACACCAACATCACATCTTCTTGGTGACACTGAACAACTCACAGCAGCCTATGTTAAATTCCCCCCTGATCTTCCCATCATTGTTCTTAGGTAGATTAACTTCCAATCCTTCATTTTTCCTGTCAATTATTTTTGATTAATAGCAAAGTAATATTTTTAAAATATATATATATAAATGGTGTCCTTTTATAAAAGGATGGACATTAAAAATATATATATCTATCAAGAATACGTGGATTATGAAACAAACAAGAAAAGCATTTGAACTGCACTGCATTGTGAATACCAAACTTGTGCCATTTTCTTTCCAGCAGCTTTCATTGTAAAGGACTCTTTTGCTTTACCTGAAGTTAATAACTGAATGTTCACAAGTGACATCCATTTAGGGCCTATAATAATTATCTAAGAAATCTTTTGAAGTATTGTAGAATAAATAAATTTCAAAATCCACTTCAGAGCTAAAGATCATAACATTGGATTTGTGAGAGTTTACAGACTGTTAGGGAAAAAAAAGTAACGTTTTTAACATTCTGAATACTTCATATTGTCTAATAAGCTTAAATAGCTTAATAATCTGCAATTAACTTACAAACAAGATTTGTTTTATTTTATTTTGAGGTCCAAAAGGGTAAGATGCACATTTGATCACTGAATCTCACACCTTCAAGAAATATCTGTGTTTATGCCAAAAGTGTGCACGCTTTCAGTATTCTTTCCACTTTTATTTACCACTGAATCTGAGGTCAGTTCTGATCTCTGCTGTATCCAGGTAACCCCACAGATCTGTGTCACTAACCTGACTCTGATCTAGCTTCATAATTTCAAGTCCGGGCACTTATTATTTAAGCATGTCTTAGCCACATTTATATATTTTCTTGCTACACAACAAAACTCCATTTGCCTAGTAGGTAGATATTTATGAGTTCACATACTACCTGTTCCAGCTCATCACCTGATGAGGAAATACAGAGCAACTAAGAGTATCGGGGCCTTCCCTGCCTTTGAGCACCTTGAGCAGCACCGCAGTGAGCCGCTACCACCACCCCAGTGCAGCCCTTGGAAAGGCCTGGGGAGAACAGCAAGGAATAAGGCACTGATAGGACAGAACAGAACAGTCTCTGCAGCTGCTTTGGAAATTTTCACTTGCCTGCCAAATGTTTTTAGCTGAAAACTTTCTGAATTTGAGTTTCAGCCAGCTCTTACACTCCTCCACACAAAGAAACCTTCTGAATTGTTCTACTGAGGAAAGAAAAAATAAAGAGCTGAAGTATTGTTTCTGGTTTGCACTTTGTGTAAATATTTAACTTCTGGAAGTTAGTGCATACTAACACACCCAAGGAAATTTTCCCCTTTAGCACTTTTTTCCACTTTTGCCTTATCCAGACCTCCATCTTTTCCTTGCTCACTCATTCCTCTGGAAATAAAAGTACCCAGGGATTCCCCTGCTGCTCCCTCATTACAGCCCCGATCAGTTGTTGGAGTAGCAGAGAATTCTGGAAGAATGGCATCTCCCATTACCCCCGTTAAGGACAAATCACAGATTTTATTTCTTTTATTATGAAGCTTTTAACTTCAGTAGCCAGTGGGGAAAGGCTAAGATACAAAATAAACACAACTACAGCAAAAGTGAAGGGAAATAAGAATCTCAGTAAATGTTTTAATCTCATTTGGAGGGCTGACTAATGCTTTTTGAATGAATAGGGCCAGGAATAATGGTCAAATATTTCCTTTTCTATCTATTTATAGAACTTTATATATAGAGAGACAATTTTCAGCTCACTAAATCTAAGCATCAGTTATCTTCCTTTTTACTACCAGGCTCAACTGTTTGACACAAGTTACTGTTTTTCTGCATTTAAATACAAGAGTTTTCTGAGGAACTTTTAGCACAGTAGTACAAAAACTGCTTCAATCACTTGATGTCAGAAACTTCTTAGTATATAATTATAGATAATTTATACATTTATAACCTATCACAGAATCACAGACCATCTTCCTCTGCCTTGCTTTGCTGATACATGCACAAATGCATCCCTTAAGCTTGGGAAAACCTTTAGCAAAGCTAAGCACACAATTTACAGTTACTTTTTCATTGCCAAAGTGAAGAGGTAGGATGGTTTCTCATTCCTGTACAACTCTATGATGAATGAAAGGCCACTTATTCTCACCATGGTTACTGGGACCTGGTAACTTTGTAGCATACATGTAATATGGCTGCAAGCAATAATATACAGCTATCCACAGATAGCAGCTACTGGCTTCGCATCTCACACATAGATTTGGAGTGGCCTAGGAACTACTTAATATAATTCTGCTCTTGGGTGATTCACCTCCTCTTACATATACTACATTCTGTAGTGCAATTACTGAAAAGACTTTCACAATCTTCTTGCTCAGAGCTGAGCACTCAGATCATCTGGGATTAGGCTATAATTAATTATGAACAGCATTTCTCCCAAGCACATCCACTTCTGCATGAAGAAACCTAATTTTTGCTCTTCACAGCTACCTGTATCATGGTTGGGCTAAATAGTTTTCAGCCAGTGGTCCCTTCCATTGTTGCACAGTGGGTCACAACACTGTAGAAAGTAGGCTGCTGTCTGCATTATTCCTAGACACGAGTAATGCTTAAGATGTCAGAGTCCTCCTGTAATTGGGCATGGCATAAGCCTTAGGCTCCTGTGTTTTTACAAAGGACAATATAGTGCTGCAGCCTTGCACTGAAGTGCCTAGGATAATCCCTAAACTGTGCCCAGGAAAAATAAGAGCTAAAATGCTACAGAAAGGATTTAAAGCAACAGCCAGCTTTTTGCAGTATGGGGAAAAAAAAAAAAAAAATCAGATTTATGATATAGTTTTATATAACATTAAAATGCTCATGCTTGTGAGGAGAGAGTATCTTAGAAGCAGTAATACACATACATTCACTGAAGCAGAAGCCAAGCATTGCTTACAGAACAAAACAAAACAAAAAACGGGGCTTACTTCTTTCACTCAGCTAGCCTTACTGCTGCAGGGACTGTGGTTTTGCAGAAACAGAAGGGAACAAATATTAAAAGCAGGGCTATTGCTTTTTTACCCCTTAATAACTCCTTAATCTTTGTCTCGTCCTGCCCCCTGGCGGGAATAACGGCCAGGAGTCTGCTGGTTTCACAAAGGCATATTCCTACAATGCTGCCCTAAAATATTCAGCATTACTTAGAGAGATATTTTCACCTCTTCCACACATTCAGCCTATTTAGACTTCTTTTTTTTTAAAATCATATGCAAACTCAAGTCTTTCACCCCATTCTAGCTCAAAACACTGCTGTATACTCAAGATTTCCTTCAGACAGCAAGTTCACTCCCTGGTGTGGTGGGCAGCTACTTTCATCTTCCCAGAACTTTGGGTGCTGCAGACCCTCATGGCTGGCAGCAGAACATTTTGCTTTTATCTATGCTAGAGCTGCACTGGAGGTGGAGAAAACCATCCACTCCTATTTGGTTCACAGGTGGTTTTACACTGAAAACACTAGCACTGCACTGAACACACCTGGGCCTTGAGGCAACAATGCTTGCTTCATCACAGGTGGGTCACCAAGAAAAAAAACAAAAAACAAAAAGCAGGTACTTCCCTTGGTCTTCTTAGGTGGCCTATTAGGGTGGCCTGGTTCTCAGCTGGTACAGACCAGCATAATTGGCACTACCTTCAACTTAACTCCTTTGCACTCACCATGAATCTTTCTGTGTATAACAGCTTTGGGCAAAGGGAGATTAGACACCTTACTGCAGTTACATAACAATTTGCCTTATGCTGTGAATCTGCAACTTGCAATCAGACAGGCCTCCCTGCAGAGGCACACCCACGTGCATGTGAAAACACCCCAGGCTGCATGGTGCAGTTACATCACATCTCTGATGGAAAACATGGCAAGGAGGGGCAGCCTGCAGATGATGATGATCCACCAACTGCAAACTAAAACCAGAATATTTAGAGGACAATTTCTTATGATTGTACGCTACCACAGGACAACTTTTCTCTATTTATCCACCTAACCCAGACTAATTTGTGCTCAGGCACTTAGGGATTACCTATCTTTATGAGCCCCGGGCACTGAGGTACACAGGATTGCCTTTGCAGGGCTGTTTGATGGCTTATTTTAATAACTCCTGAACCACACAATTAAAACCTGATGAGATCTGAGTTTGGTTAAGTTCTGTTAAATTGCCAAGGGTACAAGTAGTTGCTGTAACATCTAATTAAAAAAAAAAAAAAAAAAGTGGGGAAAGCTCTCTCTCGCTGTTTTCATTGTAACACGGTGTAACACAGGATACTGGTTCATCTCCAGTCCCTGTAATGGATTTAGTCCCTAAGTCACACACGTTTGTATTCCATTTAGCTCAGAATAGGCCCTGATTCTGCCATCCAGACTTGTGTCAAGACACACTCAGGGGGATAATAAATTTTATTCTTAATAATAAAATAAATTAATAGGGAGCTTTGCAAGGAAAAAAACCATCTCCTATTTTTTGTTGTACTTCAGACCGTAAAGCATTAGCATGCCTAAAACAGCTAGGCTGGGACACCTGCCCATAACCAGCCTTCCTAACGCGTGCAAAGAAGATGTGGGAAGCCACACACCACCTACTCACCCATCGCCCGGCCGCAGCCATCTTCTTCCGAGCCACAAAACGGAGGCCCAGCCTTAGTGCTACGTGCTGCAGGCCCTGCTCCGGCACCAGCTCTGCCCTCCTGCTCCGACCTTGCTGCTTCCCACGCCCTTTCTTTCCTCCCCTGCGCGGCGCTCAGCACCAGCGCTGCCGCTGCCCGGCTGCGCTCTGCCCGCAGGGGGCGCTGTGGCACCAGGCGGGACCGGCTGCGGCTGCATAGCGCTCTCTAGAACCGGGCAGAACCTTCTGGAACCGACTAGAACGTTCCGGAACAGACGCCGCTGTGGCCAGACATCTCAGCCACAGCCTGGTCCAAAAACTGGTAAAAAAGAGGAAACTCGGGACAACCGACATTGTTATGAATCCAAGGAAATGCACTGCACTACTGTAAGAATAGCCATAGTTTGCTATTCCTCCATGACCAAAAGTAAATTTTTCTTATGATTGATGTGTAAGGTCCACAAAGAGCCAGCAAATCCTCTACTATTATATTTAGAAGCCCACAGAACTTCAAAACCAACAGGCACTCACTTTTGACTTGAAGGATTCAAGCCATGGATCAGCCATCTCTCCCTTTCCTAATAATTCATTGCAGCCATTAATAAGTAACCTACAAACCTACAAACACTGGAACACCACAGACCCACAGTACACTCACATGAGCTGCCTTTCTTACTGCAGAAGGGTTGCAGATCAGAAGTATTCCTATCAGAGCTGCAGAGATACAGTCCAGCTCCCTAGCACTTTGCAATGGAGAAGGAGGTGTTTCTGCCTGTGCAGGGGTGGCAGATGTGGGACACTGTGCTCTGCAAATCAGGTAATGTTCTATCAGAGCTGAGCCGACAAGTAGCCCAGTTTCCTTTTCCTACCTTTCCCACGGGCACCACAATTATTGTATATTGCTTCTTACCAGCACAGAAAGTCTCTTCTTTGGTAAATTCATGCTTTTGTTTGTCATTAGATTTTCACAACTTATTTTGCTTGAAAATCTAGATTTTCACTAAAGTAATGAGGTAACTTCTATACCTGCTTTCAGTTATAAATCAAACAAACAAACCTACATCTGTATTTAGGAAATAGCTTATAAAAATACGTCTGGGTTTGTTTTCTTTTCTTTTTTTTTTTTTTTTTTTTTTTGGAAATATGTTATAAACATGAGTTATATCATTATTCTTTCATCACTGTGACTTCTACAAGGAAAAAGATTGTTACTTGTACTACAGTAGTGATTATATCTCCCTGACAGTGTCTGACTGTGCTAGGTAGGCACAGTAAATGCATGAAATAAAATTACTTCCTGCCTCAAAGAGGTTACACTTCAAGCATACACGACAACAGATGGAGAAAGCCCTGGAGAATTAATATTGCATGCACCAGAAGAGACTATTCTCACCACGCTTGAATTAGGCTGTACACTGTTGCTACTTGTATTAAGAGTCCTTGGTCCAGTACCACATCTTTAAGGACTGGAGATGGAATTAGGTTTTCTTTCAAATTCTGCAGATTGAGTGCTTCCTCCCACACATTTCATTATACTGCTGTCAAAGTTCATTCTCACTGGCACTGTCATTTCTATTTTGAAAATGTTTTCAGATTACGAGAGGCTGCAGTGGAAAGGAACACTAACACAAATTTGGCATACTTTTCTGTTAGCAGCAAAAACAAATTCTGCCTTCGTTGCTGGCATAACAATCGTCATATCTCCCTTGTAAAAGTATTTGTTTCCTCAACTAAAGCAGCACAGAACATAGCCGCACCAACATCGTTTGGTTTTGCATCTACATAATGCTGGTCAGCAACAGAAGAAAAGGAGAACTTAGTAAAATCCATCTTGTTCTGCTTGAATATACAGTGTCTCGAGTATTACTGCAGCAAACTACTGACCTGAAAATCCAGATGGTTTGTAAACAGTGCTCTTACAAGTGATTTTCACTCTGACCAAGCCAATTTATAATCTGTTATACTTGTCTCTACTGAGAAGTGCTTCTGGCATATCTCAAACACATCACAGAGTGGTTTTCATTTTTGAGCAGCTTTGCTTCTTCTTACATCTGATTTATTTGAACTTCCATTGAAGGACTAATCAAACCAAAAGAATTTTCTGTTGTAGCCTGTGTGTGGACCAGATGCACTTCCACTGATTTTGCTGAGAGATTTCTCCCAGTGGATTTGAGCTGGGAACATGAACAGGCCATATGGTAGTGAAGATAATTTACATAGAACTTTTTATCGGGAAATATCACAAAGCACCTTGCAAATCACCTGCTGTACAGGAAGGGCTTCGCTCAGAACTGAACTGCAAATACCTTTGGGGTAAAACTTGGCAAATATAACAACATGCATTAATGCTATGAAGCAACTTGCAATGCTGTGAAGAATAAAATCATAGCATGTGAGAGAAATATAGGTCGACAAATTATAGTCACAAATCAGTTTTAAACTGAACAATTTGACTCTTTATGGGAAGCAATAATTTATGAAAGCTAGTTTCTTCCTTTTGATAAATGCATTACTTAAAATGATCTGCAAATACAAGACACTGAAAACAGAACATTAATATATAACTTAATATCAGTTTTGCAGACTTACTGTTCATGTAAGCAATAAATGTTTATGTAAATTTTAACGTCATTGTCCAAAAAAGTAATGTGGCCAAGAAAAGTTATACTATTTCTTATATTTAATGCTGGGAGGTAGCTTGAGAGGTTCTGGACAGTTTCTGGTACTGTCATGCATATCACTACACATTAGAGTTATCACAACAGCAGTTATTTCAAATAAAGTATTCTTTCTGTCCATCCTAAGAAAAAGAACAGAAGAGAAAGAAAGCAGGATATAGAGTGCAACATACATCAGAATTGGCAATGAAAATAGTATCTAGTTTTCAAATGAAACAATGTAAAATTGCTAAGTAAGGTCTATTACACAAAAATTTCACTTTCTTTGGATACCATTCTACCCCTTTCAGATTGATGTTTTGTTTTAGCCTAGAATCAGTCTTATCTCCTGTAGATGCATTCATGTTATATGTATGTGCTGTAAAAAGACAATTCTAAACACTATGCAAAAAATCAAAGAGTAAGTAGAGATAATAGGCACACAACTTAATTTAATTTATGCTGCGTATTTACAGAACCCACAGAAGAACTTGCTACAAAGTCATTCACTGCATTTAAAATGAAACAAGAATTGTAGTTTCATTTAAAGGGATTTTGTGATGAAGGCTTACAAGGAACCCAAGAGCTCAGCTGCCATCTCCTGCCTTTTGGTTTTCTTCTTTGAAGAACTGCTGTCCTCCACGTGCAGAAATCCAGGCCTGGTCACACGGTCACTAGGTGTAACAGCACTCTTAATACTGTGTTTAGCTTCATAAACTAGCCACAGTGGTCCTCCTCTTCCTAGAAAGCAGAAAGATGTAAAGAGAGTGTTACAGCTGCCGTAGGACACCATCAGCAGGTGTTGTCCTCAATCTAACACACGTTACCTTTTGTAGCCAAGAGCGCAGCATTATCAGCACAGCAATGTGTCAGCTGCAAAACTTCGCATATTGAACCAGCTACAAGTTAAGAGCAAAGTGTTTTCTTGGAGATGTTCAACTGCTTAAAATTGACTGTGGCGAGATACAGTGTTGGGATTTCCTGTTTGCTCTGAAGGAAAAACATCAGACTGCACAACACAAACACCAATGCTTTGCTGTCTTGAAAATTATGGGTTAGAAGAGATTGCAAGGATGTCATGAATAGAAACAGACATCTCCGGAGGGAACGGCACAGCTATATGTTGAGGTTGTGTGTGCTTACCCCTGACATGTGCCTAATTACCATTCTTGGAAAATGTGCACTGGCAGTGTCACTCCATAATTATGATGCCCATTTTCGTGGTCCTGTTTTGTTCACTCTCTTGATTGTAGTACTTGCAATCAGAGATACAGAATGGCATGAATACAGAACACTCAACCTCCAGGAGCATTTTTTTAAAAATTATTTCATTTTATTTTTAAAGTAAAAGTCACATTCAACCAAAAGGATGTGAAAAGCTATTATTAAGCTGCATTTTAAAACGTTTAATGGCACCACATGCTGACTCAGAAATTCCTCTCCTTGAAGCATATACAAAGTATAGGGTCTAATTATAAATGCTTTATTACTGTGTTGATAAATGTACCACATCATTCATGCTTTTCCAGAAAAATTTCACACAAGTTCTTTTTAATATGTTTTAAACATAAAATACCAATGTATCTATTTAGGAGAGCAATCTTAGCTGCTGTAGTAAAAATAAAAATAATTACACTATTTTTTAACTTAAAATTCCAGTGTGGATATTAAGCAGTTTGTCTCTATTGGCAAGGTCTGGTTTTAGTTTGTGCTGGAGAACACGTAGTAGCAGGTATCTTACTTTTTTTTTTTTTTTTTTTCCATTAAGGAATTTTCTCCTTCCTGTTTTATTACATGTATGCTAGATGAGAGCTTAGCTTCTCTGTCAATAGAGATTGCATACTTCATTCACTGATGCTACTGCATGGTTTGAGTTTGATTTTATCAGCCAGAGGAATCCATCAGACATCTGTTATGTGTTAGATCTCTCAGGACTGGAAAGTCAACTTTCTCTGAAACTTGCACTTTTCCACTGAGCTGCACTATGTAGATTTCACAAGAGTCAGTTCAGCTCTAGAAACTAGGGTGGCCAACTGCACAGTAACTGAGATCTACACAGTCAGAGCCAGTCACCACAGCAATTCAAGAGTCAACTATTCCAGAAGACACTTGAACTTGTGAGGGGAACAGTGCCAACAAACTTTATATTAAAACCATCGGAGCAGCTCAGCTTCTGGAACCTGTCTCAAAGTTGAGAATTACCATCATACAGAGGTACAATTCCACTTCCAAATGCTCCCAGCACAGAGGTAAGGCATATACATAGCAGCTGTGAATGTGCTGTAACCTTGTATTCCTGCACTAACTCATAACATCACATATCTTGAAAATACTCTCCTACATGCTTGCATGCCATGAGATGGTGTGCCTACCTCTGCAGAAGCAATTCTGAAGGGTTGTATTAAACCCCCACTACCTCCTTTGGTGGCCAAACCAGGAGATTTTGAGCAAACAGCCCCTGCACAGTGATCATCCTGTCCTCTGCCAGTACAACCAAACAGTGCTCCAGTATGAGTGTCTGGGTTTTTTTCCACAGAGATTGCACTTCTCTATCACAGGACCAAAGCAGGTGTTGGTTTCTTAGGCGACCGAGTCAAGCATCTATGGTTCAGATATTGGCTGTTAAGCTTTTCATTTGAAAACTAACGTGTATTCAGCTTGCATTTCTCATTTTACCTAGAGATGTATTCTAAATTCTATCTTAGAAGAGACTGCAGTGGTTACAGACTACTTTTGCTGACAAGAATTAGCAAAGTAGACTTGTAGGCAGTAGGATTTTCTAGAAGAATTTACATTGGTAAGGAAAAAAACGATTTCTGAGTCCAAAAGAGTCAAGCACAACTGTTTATCACTGACACTACACAGAAAAGACTTCAGAGCTGATTTATTGCATAGCTTATGAAAGATTGGCACATGAACACAGAACACAATAATTGTCTTCTTTTCTCCTTCCCATAGCCATAAACCTATATCTCAAAAGCCACTGCTGAAGTGAGGGATGAGATGGAAAGATTGAACTCTGACTCCATTTTCAAGGACAGTTCTGTTGCTATTTAACCTAGGAATTTTCTCAGTCTTCTGTTGCATTCTATGCTGCCATCATCTGGTTCCTTTCATAAAATCTGACATTTTATAACTCTTATCTCTACACCTGCGTTTTTTCCCTAGGCAAAATATTCAATGCTTTTCCTGAAGATATTTCACAATTAGGATTTATCTTTGTCCAAGCAGCAATCCATTCTCTCCAGCTACCACAATCCAAGTGTATTTACCCAGCCTCCTAGTAAGGCAGAGAGGTCCCTTTACCTAACTAGCACTCAGTACAGAGAGGGATGTTGACTGATGGTTCTTTTCATACTCCGATCAACTGTTC